AATCAATAGATTAATAGGTTAATCAATAGATTTACTGGGGTTGTTGTCCTGTATTTTCCAGTTAGATGCTGAGGTATGTTTAGCAAACAAGGGGTCAAGTGGGACATGGGTTGTGTGAGATGGGGAGACCGGGCCACAGAGTTTGGGAAACAGAGGGAGAATAGCCAGACGGGGGGAGTGGAGAGCCAAGCGCAGTATGTGTCATGTTGCACAGCTCCTTCAGACACAGTCTCTTCCCCGGGGAGAGCAGGGACTTGGTCAGGATGGCACACACACACACACACACATTAATACACACACACTGATAACACACACTAATACACACACACACTAATACACACACACTAATACACACACGCTAATACACACACACATATTAATACACACACACTAATACACACACACATATTAATACACACACAGTAATACACACACACACTAATACACACACAAACGAATACACACAGACTAATACATACACACACACTAATGCACACACATGCACACTAATACACACATACTAATACATACACTAGTACACACACTAATATATATATATACACACATTAATACACACACACACACACCAATACACACACACACGCTGATCATCAGCGATTGAAACAATCTCCAACGTTGCTCGCTAGCTCGTGCCTGGAAGTTCATGTCACTTGCCTGGTGACTGAGCAGTAAAGAAACAGAGAGAGAGAGAGAGAGGATGGGAATAGAAACGGTCTCTCTCTCTTTCTCTTTTTCTGTAAAACTGGTAAAGCGACGCGTCCGCTTCTCTCACACAGCGGAATGGAGACCAGTAGCGCTTGTGTCTGGTGGCAAATAGCTTGAGACAAAGTGCCTTACCGTCACCTGAGATCGCCCAGTGAATAAGAGCTGGCGCTAACATTGCACACTGCCCTATAGACATGCACATGTGAGCTCTCAGGTATATGTATATGTGGCTATCTTTCTATTAAACGTTTGAAATTGCATCCAATTGCAACATAAATTGTCGGATAAATACCTAAAAGGTAAGGTATGCACACATACACAGATATATCTGAATGGATGAATAGATAGATAAATGATAGATAAATGATAAATATATGGATGGAGATTTGGATGGATTATTTAACCCGGAAAGCATCCTCGCTGAGTCAGTTTCTCAATGAAGGTGATCGGCTACTGGTTACCTGTTACCTGTTTATCCAGATGAGGATAATACGTGAATATAAGTGAAGTATAGATCACATTTGGGAACCACCAGTTATGCGGGCAGAGCCAACAAGGAGCCCAACGCCGGTCAGTGAGGGGATGTCTGTTTGTCCAAGCCCTTAAATTAGGATCAGAGGTGTCCAGTTGAGTCAATATAAGAGACAGGGTTATTGGCGGGATGAAAGGATTACCAACCTCCAAGAATAAATTCCCAAGTAAAATTCATTAAAGCGTCGATTTTTTTTTAGAACAGATGAGTCCTAATAACATTTGGCATTATGTACAAAAATCATAAATTGATAACGTTGGTGAAATGGAAGATTGTTGAGTGGAATAGGAATGCAACGCACAACAGAGGGCTGAGATGCGAATAATAATAATAGTAATCCTTGCATTTGCTATAGCGCTTTTCACGTCGGGAGGACGTCCCAAAGCGCTTCACAGAATAATACACTGTAAAGTGAATTGACTGTATATTTGTGGGCGAACGCGGCAGCCAATTGCGCACAGCAATGTCCCACAAACAGTCGTAGATTGAAAATGACCAATTTTATTATTGTTTTTGGTTTTGGAGGGATTATTAATTAGGCTCTGTGTGGAGTAAAGAAACTTGCCCAAGGTTTGGCCCTGTGCCGGGAATTGAACCCAGGTGTCTCGCTTGCAAGGCGAGTGCTCTAACCACTGAGCTACAGGACTCCACATAAATGGACCTGATGCAAATATGTGTCATTACTGTTGTGATAGACAACTTTTCCCCAAAACTCCACACCTCCCCTCCCCATAACAAAGTAACGTTCCATTTTAAGATGAATTAGGGCAACCCACACAGAGTTAGGGTGTAAGAATGTCCTTCTGATCCCACCTCTGAACGGTAGAATCCAGATTAGTTTTCAAAAGAGAACTAAACAGGCACTTGAGAGGAATAATGTGCATGGGTTATGGGTGGGAGAAGGGCAGGTGAATGGGACTGAAAGTAGAACTGGCTCTCTTTTGAATGGACCAATAGCAAAAATAGGTTGGGCCAAATGGCCTTCTTCTGTGCTATAAAGGTACTATCCCTCCAAAGGCTCAGACAGTAGAGAGGAACCTGGGTTGCAGTAGAATTGACCTTGCTCAGGCTTGCTACAGTGGCTCTGTGTGACTGAATACACCACCAGTTGGGTCCAAGGTAAGTGTGGTGGGTGTCACTTTAAAATAGTAGGGTAATAATTCCTCTGCTAAAAATGAAGGTCACTCAATCCAGGGACTGTTTGTGGGACGCTGCTGTGCGCAATTGGCTGCTGCGTTTCGCCCACAAAATACACAGTCAATTCACTTTACCGTATATCCTGTGAAGTGCTTTGAGATGTCTCAATGACTCGATAAGGCGCTGTATCAAATGCAAGGCTTATTATTATTGTAAAGTATTATCATATATTCAACTTGGTCAAGGTCAAAACTAGTGAGAGCCACGGTTCCCCGTTATAGTGAATAA